ATGTACGGAATTGTAAGACTTTTCTGAATGGCAAAAACATAAGCAGGAAAATGGATGCCAACGTAATGAGCAACCCCGGTATCAGTCCAAGATGCACAAATGACCCGATAGCACGCTACGTTTAAGGCAAACAAAAACAAAAGAGTATCATTACTCTACGGCAAAAAAAAAGTTTCTCCATTTGAATTCATTTCATTTCATTTCGCTTCCGTGTAAGTGCAGTGACCATGTGCAATGAGTTCAACTACACTAGGAAAAAAAAAACAATCCCGCTGCGAATACTTCCCCACCACAATTCCTTACCAAATTCCACTCTTCCAGCTTTAAAACTTACGGAATTCAACAGTGCTTGACCTTTGGTTTGTACGATCTGTTATTTGAGAAGATATATTTTGGTCTACCAACGGCCGTAAAATATAGCTTGACAATTTCGCCCTTCCCATCGGTCCTGCTTGGGACGTCCTATTTTGATTGGGGCTTCTACGGCCCTTCCATTTTACTCAGCTTCATCCATTTAAATAAACTGGTTCCAACATAACTCGGGAAGCCAAAAACGTTACCAGTTTGCTTTTAAGTAGTCCTCCTACGCTGGCGATTGGTATTACTCATACATGCTACTATTCCGGATAATTCTAAGTGCTGGCATCGCTCTTAAAAATATACAGAGATGTCATTTTCAAATTTTTATAACTTACCTGGAGGCAATACTGGTGGAGGTGGCGGTGGTGGCGGAGGACCTGAAGCGGCAGCTGTAGAAGTCGTTTGCTTAATTGACGCCGGGGGTCTGGTACCCTTAAAAAATTCAAGAATTGGTAAACAGCATTTTTTGCCCGTTTTGAAAATTAAATAGCTACGCGCACCAGACTAGCCGGCGCGATCATGCGTTTTGTGCAATTCAGCCAATCAAACGATTGCCTATTAATGATTTTCACTGTTTTGTACTTTAGCCTATGCAAAAATAGTTGAAACATCGAAAAATAGGTGGAAATTTCACGCACCTGCGCACGAAAGCTGAATTAGAAACCTTGAAAGGTGAATATCTTCCCATGATTTTCGAGTTAATAGTTATCCGCAAGAATTTTCACTAGCGATACCCGAGAGCGCGGGAACGCTGAATTTGAATAGGCAAGGTGGGCGTGGGTAGGGGTCATTACCCTAAAATTTCAGCTTTCTAGACTCCGTAGTTTCCAGGATAATAGTTTCCCCGTCAAAAATTTTCAAGGAGCCGTACTTGTTAGCCGCAGGCAGGGGGAAGCTGAATTTAAATTTTCTGGTAGCATATGGGCGGGGGACATGCTCACAAAATTTCAGCCTTCTACCTTCCGTGGTTCCCGAGATACTGATTTTACCCGAAAAACTCTTACGGAGCCGTACGTATTACCCGCGGGTACGGGAAGGCTGAATTTAAATTTGTCGCGTCATCCGCTGGCGTGGAACACTATACTGAAATTTCAGCCGCCTAGCTTTTGTGGTTCCCGAGTTGAAAGTGCGGGACAAAATGTGGGACACACACACACACACACGCACACACACACACCCACACACACCCACACACACACACACAGACAACCCTGTGACAATGTGCGTTTTGTAACGCTGTTACACAGCACAAAACGCATAATAAAGCAGTGCTCGAGCATAGTTAGTCGTAAGCCTGACCACACATCCATTGAAAGTGCATTTCCTCATTTCCTTTTACACATCGTTAGCCTTTACTATGTTGTTGAAGTCATCCGAAGCTAGAAATCCGCAAGACCACAAGCGGATCCAGAGAGGAGTGGTGACGGGTCTTTCGCCCTCCTTCTTCCCGACCAGCGTCACAGGTAGCAGTGTTAAAAGTGAAGAAAAATAGGAAGGGCGGAAAAGGCCGTGGAGGCTCAACCAGGAAATAATCATTTCAAATAGGAATGTCAGTGTTGAGCTGGACGACGTTTTGCAATGGAAACCGCAGAACCGTAAAGAACAGTGTACAAGCTGTCGATTAAAAACTTCTTATGAAGTCATAGTTCTTAAACTAGCGTAAAGGAATGAGCTACTAAACTATCGTAAAAGAATGACGGTATAGTGAACAAGTCGGACCGGGTG